TAATAATAAATAATTTTTCTTGTACTTTTTGCCTCCTGAAATAGAAGGAAACATCTTTGTATTTTTAGATTATGTTAAATTCTATGTCAATATTAATTTCCAATTCGAAATATAAGGATATGACTAATATTATTAACGAAAATTATCAACTTGATATAAATTCGAAATACAAGGACATCACTAATACTATTAACAAAAGTTCACTTGATAAAAATTTTATTTCAATTGATCACGATTATATTTTTTTTATTACTATCTTAATTCTAATTATCGAAGATATTACTGAATACATAGCGAGATTTGTTGCCAAATAATTAAAAAAAACGTAATATGTACAATACATGAACAACAATTGAAAGCAAGTGACATATCTAATTTATTATTACTTTTAAAAAATAGAGATAAATTAAGCCATCAAAAGATGTTGTTTGTACATGACAGAAAGTTATTAGACAAAAGCAAAGTGATATTTTCTGATGAAAAGATAATCGTTGGTTAATGTTCTAAATTAATTAATGTTCTAAATTGTATTAAGAGAGAGTGGCCTAAATTAGATCGTGTTCCAAATAGGACCTTTTTAATTAAAATAAATTAAATATGAACGATAAGCAGATTTGCGTGCTATTTATAAAGTCTTTATAAGACACCGAACATGTGACAGCAATTTGACAATTCTCATAACATTCATAGAATAAAATATATATATTTTCAGCCATCAGCGAAAATTAAAAAAAAAAATTCTTGTAAATCATTAATTAAAAGGTATTAAAAAATGAAAGATAATTTAAGATAATTAAAGAGTGTGGAATATTCGAAAATATCAAAATATTGTTTTGTGATCACTTTTGCAATTTATTTGTTTCAAAGTTCAAAAGAACCCATGTCCAAATGAACCTACAGTACAGTAGATAACTTATAGGCCTGATTGTAGTACTGGTGATCGGTCGACCAGATTTGGTCCAAGGAATTAAATCAGTAAAATATCATAAGTCAATCAGATTCAGATTAATTAAGTTTATTGATTTCAATTTTAATAAAATATAAACTGTCAATTTCTTTTTCTGAATAAAATTTTTATCTTTTGACAATCTATCTTTTGACTATCAAATTGCTCGTTTTTAATCAATACTAATAAAAATACATAAAAATATTTTAATTCTGTCTAAAAGTTGATAACATTAAAAATATCCGATTTGGACCAAGAGATCCGATTTCAAATTAGTAGTTCCGGATCGGATAGGAAAAAGCGTTTCTACATTTTCCATTATAATTCAATACAGGTGAGACATACGCCAAAATGGTCTGAAGCAAAAATGAAAGAAATTAAATAATCTTTTTCCAACAGCACCTTCAGTTTTATGATCGGACTTTTACGCTTATAGAAAATAAAAATTACAAATAGATCCGATTTATCCCACTCTTCCCACTCTCTCTATGTATATATTTTTTGTATTTCTTCGCAATACAGTTTCTTAATTTCTATACTCTTTCGCCAATGTGGAATCATCCTTGGCAAAAGAAATTTTGTGTTAATACTTATTTGGAGATCTTTTTATCATTAGACACCGCAACATTATAAATTTAAGGTAACTTTGACTACTTTAATTTATACATATAGTAATACAGATGGACTTTCTTTACTTTACATTCTGTATCTTTGTACTTAATGCACTGGAGTTTTTCTTTGCTTTAAATACGATATTGGTATAATTTTTGTTTTCATTATTTTTATATAGATTTTAACGAGAATTGTTGTATTTATGATGCTTGTGAATAATTTTGCGCATTTTGGACAATATGGAATTTTATTATTTCTACGACATCTAACATTTACGCTATATATATAATACGTTGCAGATGTAATATCATATTCACAATGACAGGATGCATTTCTATCGATGACCATTTATATTATTTTATTAGTTGACCTATTTATTTAAGTATATTAATATAGTTTATCTGTTTCTAATTATGTTTATATGTAACACTGAAGATGACCCGATCGGGCTTGAAAACGACGTCTATTTATTATTTATGTTAGATCATGATAATTATATTTGTTTCTTATTTACATATTTACTTTGTTGTTATTTGATTCATAGTCTTTCTAAATATTTATTTTTAATTTATATATTTTTTTGTAATATGAACTACCACATTCTTTTTCTCAAGAATCATTTGATAATCATAAGAATCAGTTAATTGTATGTATCACAGAGCATTATATAGATATATAAGATTTCATCATTTAACACAAATGTGTACTGAAAAAAGAATAAACAAAAACTAACAAAAGATCATCACATTTTATTTTACACTAAAGAAAAATAGTTAAAATAAATCTTTTTTCTTAACATTAGTTATGAATACTATCAGGGAATGGAAAGTTATTTTTTACAAGTAACAAGTTATCGTTACTAGTTATCGATTTTTAAAAGTTACAGTTACCGTTACTTAAGAAAATAATTTTTCGTTTCTTTTCCGTTACTTTTTTTTAAATCGACGACCGCCAATCATAGCGGATGGATTTAGAGGTCTCTCTCTAGTCTCAAGCGCTATGCACTAAAAAAATTGTTGTGCAATAACTTATACTAGATAATTTTGAAATCCACTGTAATAATTGTAAGCGATCACATGTTTGTAAATTTGCAATATGCAAATAAAAATAATTTCTTGACTATAACTAAATAGATTGTTACAATGACGGACAATTACAATGTGTAGTTATAAGAACGATAATATGACAATACACTATATATTATTATACATTTAACAACACGCATTTAACAATACGCAAAATATTTCTGTTATATTACATAATATTACTAAAATTTGGATAATTACAGAAAATATTCAAAATATCCTGTTACACAATTTTCAATATAAAATAAGATATATTTACACAATAAAAGCAAATTTACATAATTTTGTAGAATTACATAATTTCTGTAAAACTGCAGGATTTTTTATATTTACAGGACTAATCATGTAATCTATTGTACATCTATTATATGTAAATTTATGAAATTTTTTTACAATGTAAGTGGCTTGTATCCAATGATGTGCAAAGTAATGATAAAAGTAACTATAAAATTCGTTACCATTACTAAAAAAATGTAACTTCGTTAGTTACAAGAAACGAGTTACTTCCATTCCCTGAATTCTGTGTAATATATTATGAACAAGGTTGGCAAGTTAAGTAACGCCGTTACTTTTACTGTTACTGTTAATAATAACAATTTAGTAATAACGTTACAATTTTTTTATGGCTGTAATAATAATTAAATATTGAGATTGTGTTAAAGAACTTAGAAAAGTCACTTTTAAAAAGTAATTCGTCACTATTACACGATATTATTGAAAAACTAAAAGTAATGAGTAAAAATAATGCGTTACTTTGTTACAAATAAGATATAAGTAACGCATTACTATTCCAACCTTGATGTTACTGTTAACGTTAAATAAAAAGTTCGTAACATCATTACCAATCGTTATTAAGTAAGGGCAATAAAAGTAACGCGTTACTTGCTATTTCTATACTTATCAGGAGACACGGTAATGTCTCGGCGCTAACCCAAGCGCAGCGACATTACCGTGTATAATATGTATCCTTTATAAATATATATTGTATATTATATATTGTATATTGGCAAGTAATGCGTTATTGTAACGTTACTTTGTTAATCGTACCTTGTAACGGTTTAATAATGACATTGTGATTTTTTTATGATGATAATGACGTCAAAGTTAGAAAAGTCAATCGTTACTTGTAACGAATTGAAAAAATAATTCGTTATTAAAAAAAAACTTCTTTTTCCATTAATTACGCATTAATTTGTAATGCGTGACTTTTTACTCGCGTTACTTCTAAGACGTAACGTTATTTATTATTTTTACATATTACTTTTACTTTTATTACTTATTACTTTTATTACTTATTACTTTTTACTTACTCGTTACTTATTACTTTTTTCAATAAGTAACGCGTAATGATGACAAATTACTTTTCAAAGTGACTTTCTTAATCTTAGCACAACCTTTAGTTATTTAGCGTTACTGTCATAAAAAACATTGCAACATCATCATCAAATGGTTTACTATAAAAAGTAACGACAAGTAACTGAAAAGTAACGTTTGCCAATCCTGCTGTCACGAAAAAAATTTGTCGAGTTATAATATCACGAAAAAAGTATTATATTATATAAAAATATAAGTATTATATTTTTTAATATTTCGAAAAAATATTGTTACGGTACTACATCAAGCACCGTAAGGCACGAGGATGTAAATTAAGCATTTCAAAGGAATGAAACCGCCATCATGTCCATACCGTTCATTCCGAGTGTTCAATTCTAAGAATAGGCGAAAAACTAAAATTATAAACATACTATTGATATGTGCGCAAACGTAATAAAAAGATTTATTTCAATTTTTCTGTTATTTTTCATATAAAATATAATATATAACGATTTTCCGAAGATCCTGGAACAAAAATTAAGGTATGAAAGGTTTATTCCAGTAAGGACTTTTAGTCATCTTGAAATGCGTTACAAAATATTAAAATTTGAAACAATTTGATCTATTTTCCATAATAATTTTTCATAATAATTTTTGTGCAGGATTCTTTCTGATAACGACTAAAAATGCATAAAATGTTTTAATTTCTTTGATTATGTTGATTATATTTAAGACAACCTTTAGCTTTCAAGAGATATACAAACTTCCAGAAATTTTATAACGATATAACAATAATTTCTTGCTATAAAGTATAGTTGTGTATATACTTGCTATTCAAATAGCTCTGATGAGAGCTTAGATCATCAAATTTAAGGAATCCTTATTAGGATAAGTAATAGAAATCTACTTTTCTACTGTTGAACACACTCGAATTAAAATTGATAATACATATATATAGATGCTTCGACAATCTACATTTTGCACAGAAATATATATTACAAACTTATATTACTTATATATATATATATATATATATATGTGTGTATGTAATTATGTATTTACACTTAATTATCTTTCTTCATTCGATTCGACGTCATCCTATAAATGATAGAATCTCGTCCTGGATCCATATCGGCGATGGCGACTGAAAATATTAAGATATTAAGATCTTATCGTCGTGTTCAAGCACTTTTGTTGAATGATTAAATATAATTATCCAAAGAATTGATCAACAACTTACAAATCTTTGTTTTTATAACAATTAGTTATTCAAAAGAGATGGGAATGTTAAAAAATTAATGCATTATCGTTACAATTAGTTTTCGTTAAAAATAACTCGTTACCGTTACTGTTTTAAAAGGTAGTACGTAGATTTTAGAAAATAGTTATCGTTACTTGAAAAAGTAACGAATCCCAACAATATCGAAATATCTAATCCGACTTATCTAATAAAAATTAAAGTAACAGTTGAATCATTATCATTATTATAAAAATGTAACGAAGTTACAAACAATAACGATGGTTGCCAGAAAAAAATAATGAAAAAAATAACGCATTACTTTCCAACTCTGGTCTATACAGGGTGTAACAAAAAGGTCAGGACATTAGATTATCTTAAAAAGATGACGTTTCCGGAAAAAAATTTTTGAAGCAAAATTTGTAAGATATCAAATTATTCATCATATATACATATATCGATTTTATCTTGAATGATCTTGGAAATGTCAATATTATTTTGAGTTTTTTAAATTAGAAACCCTCATTTTTTATTATAAATTCTAGTAATCGAGATTCGTTTTCAGTATAATTATGTATATTTATATAAATATACATTATATATAAACTATA